TAATATACACTATCATTTGTAAAGCAATTAAAAAGCATTCTTATCTACCATCATCTAACTTTTTGTTTTATTTAAACTTTCTTTGTAAACATGTATTAACAAATACTTATTAATATTATAGATATTTTATATTATATGTATAAACAAGATAAGTTTTATCCTTAGTACATAATGATTTCTAAAGACTTTGAAACTATTTGTTTGAATTTCAATTTGGGTACATCAATATCTGAAAAAAATAATATTATTTACCATGAACAGGTGATTTTTATAAAATATTGTAAAAAATAAAAAAATAATATTTTTACGTTTATAATTTTAATAAAATTGAACTTTTTTTATTAAAATTCATAATATATAAAAGAACAATATTATTTCTTATAATATAATTTTCAAATAATTGGTATAATACTACTGAACTTTGTATGTTATTTTTTCGTGACAATAGCATTCGTTATGCAAGGTGCAACAGTTTTATAAATTATATTATGAAGGTACTTGAAAATATAAATAAAACTATCCTTATTAATAAATATATTAATATTATAGGTAGACACAAAAATACGTAATTCATATATAGTTATGCACGTGCTTATTTGACACCGATCAAATTATTTTGTAACGTTTTTACATACCAACATTTGCCAAAATACTTACGAGTATAATTGCCATTGTGGGGTTTATTTTTAGTCGGACTCAGAGAGTGAGATATTTTTTTTTTTGTATATTTATATATATTTGACATAAATTTACCCATATTTGAAAGACCTTTACAGCGGTTAATCCTGGAAAAACGATAGTTAGGACGTGTGCGGAATTATTACAATATTGGATGTATATTCCTTGTATATAATGTGAATAATCACACTAACACAGATTTTTATTTTAAAATGCACCAAATTTTGATTTTTAGAATTTTTGAATATACTTTACGACCGCATGTTATTTAATTATTTAAATTTTTTATTCCATTTAGATATATTTAAGGGCCGTCATGTGTAAAACAAACTTCTTTTTTTCAAATGAGAATTAATAACCTTTTTTCAGTAAATTATTATTGAATGATTTTTAGAAATTTTAGATAATATACTTATAAAGTTATATTCAAATCAAAATTTAAACTTATAGTTTCTGAGTTATTAAAATGTTTGAAGTAAGGGTAATTTAGTTTTTATAAAAATAGTTTTATAAATTGTTGTGAAAAGTCATTTCTTGCTATAAGTTAATTAGTTTAGATTTCTGAATTAAAATAAATACTAATAACAACAACATACCTTAAAAGCTCAAAGTTTTAAAAATAACTTAATTTTGAAATGTCCAGTCTTACATATACGCTAAATATACTTACATATATATCGATGTATTTTAAGACATGTGCAGGATATTTTCATAAGGATAAGGTATGCACTGTACACTATGCAAAATAATTTTAGTAAGGGTTACTTATCTTCAACTTACTACCTCTGCTAAAAACATAAAGGAAAATTATTGGATAAAGTTAAAATGTAAGCTAATTTAAAGTTTTTTATAGCTAAATATATGACTCATTTTTTCATTTAACAACGAATGAATTCAAATTATGATTATTGGAATTTTTAAATACACTAAGATTATATTTTTAATTTTTTGAGATTTTTTTAATACTTAAAAAGTGTTCCTAAAGTGCTTAAACATCTGTTTTTTTCAAATGAGAGCTTTTTTTATGAGTATAAATTATTTAGTGGATAATTTTTTTTAAATTTCTTATAAACCTACTTAATTCAAGATTCAAATAAGTTGTTTTTCAGTTACTAAAATGCTTATACTAAGGATTAAAGTTTTAAAAAGTATAAAATGTATGTAATATCGGATTAAGCATTTATTATACTTTTTATACTTAGACTATTTAAAAAAATCATAGTTTTCATAGCTATATCTAACATACTTTACATAATATATTGATTGAAGACAATTATTATTCACATCAAACAATTTTTTTTCTTTAGTTCGGTTCTTATTATTCCATTATTATCTTTTATTATTTACTTAAACTTTGCAAACAATGTTTTGTGTTTTGTTTTGTAAGCTAACGTTTATCAACTAAACTAGTTATTAGTAACTTGGTTAAGGATTCCCTTTCTTACTTCGCGTATAAATTAAACACTTATATCGTGTACCGTCCACTATCGTAAAGTTTTTCAAAGCATTAAACAGTAATTACATGTAAGATCTTATTAATGTCATTATTAAATACAATATATTTTTAATTAGTTAGGTAATACTAGTAATACCAGAGACGTAGGGAGTGTTTTTTTTTGTGGGGGGGGGGATAAGACATTTGTTCATTTGCATTTTTTATAGCAATACTTTTGTTTATACGAAGTAATATTATTATAATAAATTAAAAGTATCGATGTAATAAGATATCATTATTATATAACTCTCATGATTATACTAGTTTATATTATTCTTTTGTTGAAGATCAGTCATAGAAAAATATACGGGTATATATATAAATATTCCATGAACAACTGTCTATTTTACAACTTTCAAAGAGTTTGCAAATAATATGTTAGAATAACGTACTAAACTATTCTAAAAATCTAAAATAGTAAATATTCTATATTATATTACATACACAAAACGAATTTATGAATATATGTATATTTTCATGATATTATACAACTGTCATCCATTAATGTAGTGGTACCTTGTAGAGTAGCGTTTCTTAACCCTTTTATTTTGGCGACCCTCTTTATGAATTTAAATTTCTTAGCGATCCCCTGCATAAATTTTTTTTATATACTCACATAGATTATTATTAATAATCAATGCTATAAATACAGTACACTGTACAGTGTTTTTTATTTATTTATTTCATTAATTTTTAATTATTTGAGCGTTTTAATTTTTGTATTAATTTAAATTTTAAATCATACATTAACGACCTTAAATAATAAGGTAACGACCCCCAGGCTGAGAAATACTGATGTAGAGGACATCTCTCGTAGATGGTTCTTTTTTCTTCGTATAATTTATTTTGATATTTCTTATATTTATATTCCAATTAATTTAATAATTTATAAAATCAAGTTAATTTTATTTATGATAGTATTATTTTTGTTAACCGTTTTAATAATTTTAGTTTAATATAGTTTAAATCTTGTCTTCTTTTAAATTTATTATTTTGGAAATTATTTTTGTTTTGTATACATTTTTAGAACTTTGCCTGAACAATTTATAATTGTTGGTGTAAAGAATTTACAATATATTACGATGTGCACTTTACGCATTTGTATCAGCGTATTTAAATCAGTGATTTAAATTTACTAGTAAACTCTTCATCTAAACTTTTAATTGAAATTTAACTTTGTTTTTCGTGTAGATTTTCAGTTGCTTTTGAAAATTGATGTGAATAATAATAGTGTTTGCTCTGAATCATTTGTCCATCGTAAGGTTAATGGTTGTGATTTTCATTATTCATTTTCATCTGTAGTTGAAGATTCAAAAAAATTATTTTAAGTAAGTTGAACAATTTTTATAGAACAACGCCATTATTATCTTTAATCGTTTTTTCGTTAATTATATGATGATAAAATATTTCTATTTTATTCATGAGACAAAACTAATGAACGAATGTCGAATATCATGTTTGCAGATACTGAATTTACAATTTAATGACTAAAAAAAAAAAAATGACTAAAAATAATAATAAAGTATAAATCATAGTCTTAAGCTATAATTTTTTATAACAAATGATGTTGTAAAATAACTAATGATATACACACTAATTGGCGTATGACAAAAAAACTGATGGGTCGTAAAAACCTAGTTATTGCTTTATTATACCATATCTTTATAACTTATGGCTTAAACCAATCAATATTAGGTATCTAAATAATCTTGATGATATTATTTTTTTAATTTAGTTTACAGCTATTGTATATGTATTTAGGGTAATTAACAATATCTTAAATGAATTTATGTGTGTAGCTTTTGAAAATCGCTTAAAAGGTGATAGTGAATGTGTATCTTAAACCTTGACGCCCTCTACTATTGTAATCCTCCGGAAATGGGAGACTCGTATCGTCCACAGACATGGATAGTAGGTGACATACAAATAAAACATCTTTGTTTATTATGTCTGTGGTATCACCAGTAATGATGAAGCTGGAAAATACGTTCAAGAGTTGTTTTACTAAAATGTTGTACTGTACACCACAATATTATTATTATAACCATTATTTTTTAAATTGGGATATATTAATTTTTTTTCAACTGTCAAGTGAAATAGTGATCGAGTAGAAAAATAATTGGAAATAATAATTGGGCACGGTGCACTGTACCGTAAAACAAATTAATTTCCTTAATTTTTCCATCTTTTTTATCTCAGTCAAGCATTTAATAGTGTTCAAAGATGTAATTTTCTCTGTTGTAACATCTGTTTGTCAGAAAACGGTTCAATGATTCAGTTTTCCTTTCAAATATAATTTTTTTTATGTATAAATTGTGCTTGTCTTGGACATCTGCCCTTATAGATATTTTAATTAAACTTAAATTGTTATGAATGGATATGTATAGGTTGTCTACTTTCGTGTGTAGTGTTATATAGTAAGCAGTAGTTAGATAATATTATGACGGCCGTAGCCATTTTCCTCCAAAAACAAAATACCGTTTTCCTCCACTGTCCATTTTCCTCCAAAAAAGAAAAAAAAATTTTTTGACCATTTTCCTCCACTTTCCATTTTCCTCCAATAAATAAAATAATAAAATCGTCATTCTTTATCAAAATATTAAATTAAAAAAAAAAAATAACAAATCAAATATTTAAATTTTAAAGTATAATTGTAATATAATAATACACCGTACGCGCTGAACTTGGCAGGTGGCTAAAAAGAGAAATAATATAATAAAAAGTACTCACGTCAATAAAAATGCATCAATTAATAAATAAAATAATAATAAAAAATTAGTTAATAATATAATATGTAAAATAAAAGATATAAAATATAGTAAAATCACTGCAGTAAATAATATTACATTTTTTTATAATTATAAGACATCTCAGCAACAAATGAATACCTGTTGGAAGAAAATAAAAATTAGATATAATATGAATAATTATTTCACTTTTTGTAATTAGGTACATACCTAGACATTTCTCCGTTTTGTAATTTGATAATTGCATCGTCGATTGCTCCACGACGCTTGTTTGCTCGGTAATCCTTTGATTTTTTTGGAACATGTATACTTCTCATTTTACAATAAATATTTGTTTGAGTTTGCTTTATGATATTAAGCCACATAAATATATTAGGCTTTTCTTTATAAAAGTTTTCTTTGAAATGAGAGTGGAAAGACTCGCATGCATTAGTGGTTCTTGATAACGAAGAAGACGATTCTGCCCAAATAACTGGCGGAAATATAGAATTTTCCGAAATATACGTATCAGTTAAATAATCAGCGTACTGACTCACTCTTTGATCGTTTGGTATAATACTCATAAAATCTTCAATAAAACATTTGGAAACTTCTTGTGGACTTAGAAATGTGAGTCCAAACGTGTTTCTTATCCAAGACCCAATTTCAGAGTTTTTTTCCTTATAGTATTGAACTAAACCGAGATTTTGGATTTTCCGAAACCATGATTGTGTCAGGTGAAATCTACAGCCAACTATTAGTGTATCAGGCCATACTATAGAAACAGCATCATGAATAGCTTGCTCGAAATCAATTGTGATTGATTTTGGGTTTATTGTCAATTTTAATTCAATGCATTTAAGTATAATATGGTTAAATGTATTAATATATGTATCAGTGGATTTATTAACTAGAAGACAAAACACAACAGGTATATAATGTCCGTTTTTAAAGCCATGTATTGTAAACATTTGGTTAAAATGTTTAGCACTGTATGTAAATGTACCATCGCAATAAATATTTTCAGATTCACATAAAAATTTCAAGTTTTGGTAACAAGAAAATATTAACACATTTTTACTATCATCATTAACTAGTAAAAATTGTTCTTCAGAAGTAGTTTTAATATCCATATTGTTGATTGTTAAATGTACCTCTTCAACATTTTTCGGCAGGTTCGGCAGCAAAGATTGACGGGCAGCATAAATATTTTTCCTGATTTTATGAATATCGGTATCATCAAAATTTGAACAGTCGGCAGAACTTTGTCCTAATTCCTTAAGTATCACTTTTTTCGGTCGTGAAAATAAATCGTCAATTGCTTTTCGCTTACATGCATTATTCACTATTTGTCGATTTACTTTTTTTGGCGATGGCAAATGATTATGTACATTTTTTGTGTGACTCATCGGCTACTATTTCTTCATTTTTATCAGTGTATATAACTGCTTGACAAGTCGTTAAACAACATCGCCAACGTGATAATTCAGATTTTAACTTATATGCTAAGAAATACTTGTAACTATCACGAATTATCAAAGGTTTTCCTCGAGAACTTTCAATGAACGTCGCTTTTTCAGACATGTTAAAAATTAAAACTTGCTAAACTATAAAACACGTAATAGACACTATCGGCGTACGGTAAAGTCGGGTAAACTACTAAAAATATAGTCTTATTGATACGAGTATTTAGTATATTCGTGTGTCTGTTTATCTCAATGTGTTTAATCATAATAATCAGTGACAATTGTATTGATGATACACAATATAAATATATACGTATATACCCATATGTTGTTTGTACGTATCTTTATTAGGCTTAATCAAAGTTAAAATCGACTGTTATAAACCGCGTGTGCTGTGGAACACTTGGACTAGCGTTTTTCCCTAGCCGATAAAAACGCGACAAGAATTTAATCAACAAATACGCGCAAAATGTAATCTAGCCATACTCTATTTTTATAATAAAAACACTGACTAAATATTGGAGGAAAATAGACATAATTTTAGTCAAAAATAATGTGGAGGAAAATGGAAACCAACCTTTTTTGTTTTTGGCGGAAAATGGACAGTGGAGGAAAACGGTATCTCGTTTTTGGAGGAAAATGGTCCCGCCCATTATGACGTATATCCTATAGGGAAATCACAAAGGTTAGAAACCTTGTCTTGGTATTGTTTCGTTCTCTGTATTAATAGTATACAATATTCCTGTATGTACTTGATATATGTATAAGGTATATTATATTTTGGTCAGAACAGAATGTTATCTCGTTTATGATTTTAATGTAGGAAGTTGATACCTACTGTTCAACACAATTTTAATAATTGTAGTTCTTATTTATTTTTTTGAGTGAATGGTTTTAGTTTCCGAGTATAAGTTTTATAATAAATACTACTGGCATTTTATATTTAACTTAAATTAATTATTAAAGTTTATTATCTTATATTTTATCTTTAGTACATATACATATATATATATATATATAAACACTTTAAAAACTCAAAAACTCGTTTGAATTTTGATTTAGTTATATCGTAATTTTAAAAGATGCAATTTACTTAACAATGTGCGGTAATAAAGGTTAATTCTCGTCTTAACAGCCATAGATAGAACACTCATTTGAACGGTATAAAAACCAATTGTGTTCAATGGGTAAGTTAATAAAAACAATTAGTTTAAATTAGTTAAGTTTTATGTAGTTAATATTAATAACGTAAGTAATAAGTTAATAAATTAATCATTTTAATTTCCATCTAGGAGTTAGGTTACACAAAAAATGATTGCTATAATGCTATATAATTTATATTTTTTATTAAATAATAACTTAATATTTTGTTAAAAATACATCATAATATTTCTATTTTTATTATGCCCTAGCTATATTAGTTTAGGCATATTAGACGTTATTTAAAAAAATGCTATTACAACATATTATTATATTATTTTCGTCTTATATACATATGATATAGACAATTTGCGTTTAGTAAAACTCATTATGTCATTATGTGTAGAATGAACTTTTTAACTAGCTAATGCACATCTTTGTAGAAAATAAAAGTATTTGAAAACATTTAGGCTCAAAAAATACCAAAAATTATAATTAGAATAATTAATGAATTACTAAATATTGGGTTTAAAATGTTTTGCAAATCACTTTGTATAATATAATATTTTATATCATATATTTTGCACTAATCTATATTGTGTTCGATAAATATGTAAAACAAACAGTGTAGTTGTTATTGTGTTGTACTCGTATATGGTTTTTACTTATATTTTCACTAATATTATTCAAATTTAACTATTAATTGACTTACATTTATAATTTATAATTAAAGGATTAAAAGATTCTCAAAATGGTTATATATAATATGTAGAATATAGAATATAGATACATATCATTATACCTTTTTTTTTTTTTATGAGACAATAGAATATTGGATCATAATATATTGATATGATTATTTATATGCTTGTTGTGCTACACGCAACTTAGATTAGATAAATCAGCTATAGTTATAATTTGTTTAACAATTACGAAATCCTAATTATAACATCTAAGCATACGAACTTATTTTTATTATTGATCGGCGTATATACGCACACACATAATGTAATATACATTATACGAGTAAATTTACAAATACCTCCTACCCTCTCAAATAAGAACCAAATGTGTGTATTATACAGTGTATAAACTCATTCCCTTTGCTTTCGAATATTATTAATATTTATAGGCATTAAATATTATATATATATATATATATATATTATGCATATAAATTCACATATTCGTATTTGTGCGCAAGATACGGGTCAAAAGTTATTTAATATGTATATATTGTGTACATTATATATATTATATAAGTTTATATTATACAAATGCGTGATCGAAATAATTTTTAGCGAACAAGTTCGACGATTTGGGTTTATAATATAGGTATAAATTATTATTCTACCAGTCTATATGCACTGCAGAACGTTTGCGGGTCTGTGCTCATATTTATTTAAAACGTCATCTGACAATTGGCACACAACTCTTAAATACATATCAATGTATTACGTAGTACATAATAATAATATAAATATATTGGAAAGTTATTTTATATATTTACTACTATACATTAAAAACCACGCGTGTTTAATAATAAGTGTTTAAAATTATTACGGAATAGTATTATGAATAGATTACTTAAATTTTATGGATGATCCAAATAACATAAGACAATATTTCAGAAAACACAAAGTTTTTTAAAATATTTCTTTACATAAATGTAAGTCGTTAAAAGACAACATTTTTGGGACAAAATTATATTTTTTCTGCTTTTATCGTTATATTTTTTCAAGTTTTATACTCTTTTTGAATGGCAATATAAATTTTTAATTTCATTTTTTCGAGGCAGAATATTTTTTGGAGTATTTAAATTTATAAAATCAAGTTTCGGATGCGAAGTTAGTAGTTTATTAGTTATAACTTATAATTATTAAACGTATTGTGGGATAACTCTCTGTGTACCTCCATTCCATTTATCTAAACTTTAGATGTTTAAAACTCATAAAATACTCATTCAAAATTATAACAGCGTAAAATGTTTTAGAACATGGAATTAAAATTTCATGTGTCATTATAAAAGTAAAAGAAAATTATGATGATAAAAAATAGTAAAATTGTCTTTTTTTAACGACATAAAGTTGTGTAAAAAAAATATATTTTGTAAAACGTACATATATTTTTAAATAATGAGTGTGTCGTTAAATGGATCGCTCAGAATAAATATTTATTCATAGATTACATTGCACATAATACAGTATATAAAGTTGGTATTGTGCACTTATATTTAAATTTTAAACCAATACGTGTAGTTATAGAAATCATGTTATGTACTTGTGTATCGTACATATACTATATACTATGTATATATTATCATCTACTTTGACAGCATAAACCACTGCACGACAGGGTTCGTACACGATATACGGTGTAAATTTATGCAGAATGGCGATTGGTAGTGCAGACTTTGTTAGTTATTTCGGTTCGCCTCTAGGAAGTAAGTGTAAATATTACTATACACATATACGAGTAGATGGTAAAATATTACAACGGGTGTTTTCACGATATGGAATACACTAGCACACCTTTCACACCGTCTTTTCACGTCTTCATCGTCTTGCAAACACAATCACGATAACGATTTATAGCATAGGTACGAAGTATAAATAGGTAAGTAACACCCAAAATAGTATACGCAGTACCTGCACACGATCGCAAACACATACCACTCATCGACTTTGGTCCTTTGGAATTTTTCCGGTTCCTGATCGATACCTGCCGCATAACTACTATGTATATATTTTACCAATACGTATACGTATTCATATAAAGTGAGTTAAAGTTTCATCGATTTAATGACATTTTTCGCAGACGAAACGATAGATTACAACCGTAATAAATAATAATCGATCGGACTCGTTTCCTATTTGGACTTATTACCTATTTTATATCAAACAATCATTGTAAACGTATTTATACCATCGCTACGTGATGATATTAAGAATTCTTCTAGCATTTGTATCGTACTCATATTATAGAATATTATTAAGTCTTAATAATATAACACAATTTATGAACTTGCGAAATGGCAATCGTTTACAGATTTTGACAAAAAAATTGTACTGATTTATGATCTTCTGTTTTCTCCAAATTAATTCAACATTAATTTATATATATATAAAAAAAAAGATTACAAATGCATATATTAAACGAATAAATTTAGGTACATTTAACTGTAAAAATAGCCGATGAATATTTGTTCGAAATTTGATTTTTATTAACTATCAGAAAAATATTCTGCTCCGGAATATGAAATTCTGAATGTATTGGAACGTTGTCAATAAAAAAAAAAATAATAATAATAATAACCACTTTAAAAAGTTATAACATATAAAAAATAGTATTTTTTTCAAAAAAATTGTTGGTTGCTTTTTGATGATTTCAAATTGATTAAAATTATCCAAAATCTATAAGACATTTCAAAAAAATACATGTTTACTATAAAAAAATCATCATAATATATTATTATAATCAACTTATTAGTTACTGTGTAATGTATAACTATTTCACAAAAAACATACAGCGATATAGAAAAAGAAATTGAGTAAAGGTAATATAAATAATAATACTTAATTATTTAACTAATGTCACGTCTTTTGGTTTATAATAAAATTGTTGAGATATTCTCAGTTCTCTTGGCTATTACCAGATTTAATAAACCTACCTACAGCTCTGCAATTTATAAGCTCTTTAACTTTTGATTTGTTTACCTTGTTGCAGATTATTATTAGGTATTATTAAATTGCGTTACGGATGGTACAGTCAGCATTATATGCATTCATTCTCTTACGACAGCT